ACTGCCTGAGGGTTATAATCCCTAAGTGCGGCCGAAGGCCGCCTACGCAGAAAGGTGTTCTCTGCAAAAGGTGTTCAACCCCCTTTCTTTGGCAACACAGAAGAGAATTCTACGTAGTGAGGGTTATAATCCCTAAGTGCGGCCGAACATTTCTATCTGTCGCTTTTTTCTTAATTTCACAATATTGTTAGTTAATTTTTTCCCCATCATTTTTTTTTTTCAAATCGCCTGATAACCAACTTGGGATAATTTCTTTTATTTAAAAATCCCACGTTTTTCGTTAGTTGGGTTATATTCCACTTGAAACTGCTCAGTTTGCCTCGGAAAATTACGTTTTTACCCCATTTTCAAACGGTTCCCTAGGGGTCTGTGGGAGGTCCCCAAGGGGGGGGTGGGGCTTTTCGTAAAGTGGCGACTGTCCCCTTTCGAATGAGGGGGGTTTGGGGGGCCCCGCCCCCTCCCCCTCCGTCCCCCACCCCAAAAACGGTGGGCCAATAACTAAACATTTCCCTATGCGGTGAAGTATATGAGGTGGACGATACTATGTTTGCGAATCTCGATGTGCTAGAGGATTACCCTGACTATTACGATCGTGAAATACAACAAGTAAAATCTAAGGATAATATGTAAGCATGCTGGGTAATTAAAAAATATGTAATAAATTTTATTATTCTAGCTTTTCCGCTTTGCAGATCTATTGACTGTTGGTTATATTTGATTAAGGAATTTCCGGAACAGCTACTCTTAAAGCGCCATCTGGAATCGTATCATAATGCGGAAACACAACCATATTGTGAAAGGTCAGAGAGATTGCCTGATGTAAAGGCTAAAGAAGATATGGCCTACTGAGTATGCACTTAAAACATGCTGTATGCATATAGTAAATTCATTTGTAAATATATACATACATCCGCCAGAAATTCGTTAAATTTGCATCAAAATCTATCCACCCAAATTAATACCGACACTTTGAAAGTTATGCATATCGGACCTTTGATGCAAGAGTGTTATACATATTCCAAAATATCGAACCCTAGAGAAAAGCGGCTTTAAGTTTGCATGGGCTCCCGTGGTAAAAATGAAGACACATTCCTTTCTAATGAGCTATTGGACCGTATTAATAAAAACTAAGCATTTGCTTGTTATTAAAATTTCAGACCACTTAAATTTATTTAAAGAGATCGAGTAAAAATCTGAAGTTTTAAGAAAAAGCAATTGCTATCCGACTTTTACACAACAAGGAAGAAGAGTAGTGGCGGTTATTTCTGCATACTTGACTCAGAAATATATATATTTTTGGATTATGACCCTGTTGCAGCAAAGGAATGATATGTGTATCACTACTACTAATTACCTTCATCATTGATAACTATGGCGTATACATTTTTTGCTTTTGCAGTTATTTGGACAGCTCCAAGAACGATATGTATGTAGAGAACGAGTTAAATATTGTTAAAGGAACGTCCAATTCTAAAGACGGTAGTTAGAGCATAACCAAAATAAGCCAAATAAGTATATTTGTGCAATAAACCATTGTTATAAATACATAATACACATTCGTTTTATAG